CGTCTGGGCCCCAGTAGTGCCTATTTTCCCAATCGAATTCAAGCTCCCTATCGATATCCTTCCTGATCTTGATATTTAGAGAACCTATTTTTTCTTGCCTTTCATTCCTCCAAGTCTTCACTCACTCACAATCAATTGAGCTTAAGGCAAATCCCAAATGCCACATTGATTGAATTTCCGATTTTTGAATTTAGGTTGGTTTTATATCAAAGTAAGTGGATTTCATTTTGATTATTCTTCTTGGAACTTCTTCATTCTTAATTCTTGAACGTTTGGACGATCAATTCTGAAGTAAGACTAAAGTAAAATGATATCTCTTTTCTTTTCTTTTTGTCATTGTTATCAAATAAAGTCTTACAACCTCAGAGTGGAAGTTACAAACCTGTGCGTTAGCAACATATTTTGATCTCATCCTTCACCCAAAAAATAATGAAGTGACGTTTTTGAAAAATACAATCGTAGACAAGGCTAGTAGTAGTCAATCAAAAATGTAAGTTTTATTTTCATTAAGCTTCATCCCTCAATATAATACCTCATTGAAAAACCAATTCCACATCTCATCGATTTTTGTTCGGTTTACTTTACAGTTGGAGATGATGCAGTTCTACAACTATGGAAACATGAAAATGGGTATATAATTAATAAAGCTACTAACCTTTGTTTAGATTATGAACATGGAAATTATAAACGATTAGGGTATGTAATACCTTTTGTTTTTCCTTTTCAACTTTACTTCTTTTATAATCACTGATGAGTTTCTTATGATCATATTTTTGGGACGGTTCATGTTTTTAGTGCTATACATAGTAAGCCTTCCATCCCGTAAAATAAAAATATCATGTTCATTACGATCATTTATATTTTGCTTACCTTGGATTTGGTTACAATATTTGAACTTTAACTACATTATCATAGTCTGTCAATGGCATAGAAAAGTAGGAAAAGATGCACACAATCAAGTAAGCAATCAGAATTTCTAAACTGTTAACCAAGCTTTCCTACAAAACCTAAACAACTCGTCAATTTTTTCTTTACTTAGAAATGGCTTTATCGTACTCATAATTTAATTGCATGTGTAGACGACATCAACCGAGTCTTAGACATCAAAGTAAGTACAAAGAGAATCATGTATCATCGATTTTTGTGTCAATCATCTTACTTAATCTGGTTGGCCGTTCTAGAGTCCATAAATGGTTTGACCAGTCTCTAAAAACCCCAAAAAAGCCACAGCACATTGATGAAGACGGCTCTACCAAGTCCTGTGTGAAAGATCAAATATCAATTCAAACAGTTGAAATCTTGTCATCAATTTTTCAAATGTCAGAGAATACATGAAAACTCACGTTCACAATAATAAGTTTGAAGGATGTTTAAAACTTGTTTCGCTTGACCTAGTGTAGTAGCTATGATTTCAAAGAGATGAGAGTCAGTGGATTAGAAATAAAGTCACATAAGAATAAAAATACTAACATTGACCAGATGCATTATGGACTTTAGATGAACCAAAGTCAATGAGTAAAGTAAGTGCCTCTACCCCAGGTGGCATCAAATCAACAGTCCTTTCAAGACACCAGACAACAAATTTAATTTGATCTTCTGATGGTTTGGTATTCTGTTTGCCAGATATCTTAGAGTTAGTCAATGTTACTGGTGGTTTTTGAAGAAACACTACAAGAAAGATAATATTTTCTGGGCAGAAAATTAAATTATTGATACACAAAAATATTGAGAGGCCAGGAGAAGGGCAAAAAATAAATAAAAATATGCATCTTGTTCCCTGCGGTGAGAGCTTCACTCTCCATATTTTTCCATATTTTTACAGTCCGTATTGATAAGTGTACTAACAATAAACCTTCACAATCATCCAATTACAACCTGTAACAAGCACTGAGATTTGGCTCATTAGTGTTTAGAGAAACTTTTGATTTCTGAAAATACTCATAACTTTTTCAATTCCGGTCCAAAACGCTCGATTTTGGGTGCATTGGTAAGCTGGAATTGTCCTCCAAATAGTTCATAATAGGACCACACAGCATGCTGGTCTGCTAAAAAAGATATAATCTTTTTTGTACATTTGTACATACAGATCCATAGAATGATTGTCATACTAGCTACATAG